ATTTGCTGATACAAGAATCAAAATGAACATATGCTGATCCAAGAATCAAGATGAACAAATGCTGATCCAAGAATCAAGATGAACAAATGATGATCCAAGAATCAAGATGAACATATGCTGATCCAAATAGCAAAGAAAATAATAACAAATAGAGTGATTTATATTGAGGAATGATTAAAAAGAAATAACAAAAAATGGCTACATTGCAATGTAAATAAATGTTCTTTATTCGTCCATAACATTGTTTTCAAAATTACAACGATGGCAGCCCGTTGAATCACTTGAGCTCCGGGTTGTAACACTCAAGGAATGAAGATTTTCTACTATTGCAAAGAAGTTAATAGCTCTAAGAGTGTAACGTCTAGAATATTAAAGCTTTATAATAATATTAGTTCCTTCCAGACACCAAAAACACCTGGGCGACCACACAAAATGAAATAATTAGGGCAATTGAAAAAATTACCCTTTCCCTGCTGGGCCGTTTTACACAGCAACGGTCATGTACGTCAGGTAACCAAATAATTTGTCATTGTTTATATATATATATATATATATATATATATATGTAAATATGATAAGATAAAGAACACATACGAGACGTTTATCAGTTTAACATGTTTCACTTTTATGAACGGTTCATCAGAGTATGAAACATTGGGGAAAAAGAAAGAAATTGTTTGTTGTTTGATTTTCATTGGTCAGTTATGTTTAAACCAACGTTAGTATAATGTGTAGCGTTTTGAATTCAAGGTGAGACGACGCGTCCATCCAAAATGTCAAGAAGTTAACACATTCGAAGCCTACCTGAAAAACCGTAAATATTGCTTGCTATATATATATGTAAGTTTATAAAAATTTTAGTTTGTCTATGTGGGAATCAGATGATACTGTATATTCGTAAGTGTGTGTATGTCTACTATACATTATATTTGTTGGTTTTTTGTATGCTGATTTGGGAACGTTTTTACGTATATACATTTTGTTTTAAATAAAAATACGTCAGATTCTTTAAGAATGGATTCTATAAAGGTTGGCTATGTAATATAATGTTTTTGACGTGTATTTATATTTGGTAATATTGTTGTTAGCAAACTCTCAAAGTACTTTCTCTGTAAAGAATTATGTTCTTTTTTTTAATTAAGGTGGCATTAGTAAAATCAAAATTAGGCCGAGCTTTGTTCCTGTGTATTACGAGAGATTTTGAATGGCTGACAAAACATAAATCTTCTTTGTGTTCGCATTAAATAAGAAATACGAAAAGAAAATAGATTCTTATCATTCTGTCGGATCTATATTTGATCTACATTTGTCGCAAATTATATATATATATATATATATATATATATATATATATATTGTATTCAGAGTGGTGAACTTGTGACAAGTGAGAGAAGTAAGAGTGAAGTAAGAGTGAAGTAAGAGTGAAGTACTTAATTTTTTTCTATAACTTTAAGATGGAGTCATCAAACTTGAAACACTGAGAGTGGTAACATAATTATTTTAATGAAAGGTCTTCGAAATTATTTTATAAAACACTGGTAACTAGTGGAAGGAATCAAAGTACACCAAACTTCGACCATTTCAGAGCATGGTGCAGATATTTTACATTAAGGCTGTCTTTATAGAGTTTTCTTCATTACAATGAAATTACTCTCAATTTTTGTTTAAAATATTTGACTGTAAATTCTACGTACGTTCTGTAATTACATATATATATATATTATTTTAACATAAAGTTTCTTGCAGTTTCAGTTACCTGGTTATGAATGTGAAAGTTGGAAAATTAAATAAAATTTATAAAGACTGTAGCCATATCATGAAAGCAGCGCCGGATTTACGACAAATGAGGCCCTGTACAAGCAAAATAATGAGGCCCTGAAGTAGGTAGGCCCGGAATGCCTACATAGGCATGGAAGGAATATGTGGACCCCTAGTCAACGCGGCCCTGTGCTTTAGCAAACCTAAGCACAATGGTAAATCCGGCACAGCGTAAGAGTGATATGTAGTCCATTTAAATTTATTAGAATTATATGGGTTATCCTGCATATTACTAGTGCACATATTTCACTGATTAAATATATATTTAAAAAAATAATTTCAAATAGAGATTAAATGACAGTCTATAACGTTACTATAAACTTTTTCGTATTCTTAAAAAAACAACAACAAAAAAACTGCGTATTCATGATCGATTGCAAATATGTTCAACGGCTTATATTCAGGGTATAACTATTAAAGTAAAGTGTATAATTTCACAAAAACCTTCATGATAGTGAAATTCGTTATTCTTGTGGAAAGAAGAGAATGTGAACCCACAGAATAAGTAATTCTGATTTGGAAAGACATGATTTCAACTTATCATAAACGTATATATACACCAATACATATAATATATAATATAAAAGAATTACACCAATACATAGAATATATAATATATGATATGATAGAATATATATACACCAATACATAGAAGCAAAAAAAAAAAAAAGAAAAATTAGAACGAAACTTTAAGTGAATATCAATATCATAAAAATAGGAAAGTATAATTTCTTCATAATATAAACAACATATTTAGTATCGTATTTGATTAAACAACGTATTTGATGAGACATCCTTCTTTTTTAATCGATGTTTACCGAAAGTTGTAAATAAAGACTATGATCTCTCGGCCGGTTGGCATTAATGTCACTGTCTAAAAAAAGGGGGGGTCAACTTAATCACATGCACCTACTTTAAATATAACGTACGCGCGCGCTCGCGAGCGTGTGTGTGTGTGAGTGAAGCAGTGTCAACATTCGGAACACCTGGAACTGTAAGTAATGTCATATCATCCTGATAAGATTCGAGCATTAACGACCCCCACCCCCAAATGTTTTAGCATCAGCCTATTTGAATCGTATGCGGCACTGGCAGCCAGTAATTATTCTGAGTAGATCTTTTCATTGGATCAAGGTTGTCTGATGCTTAGATTCCACATAGTGTTGCGCAAAGCGCGAATGGTTACAAACAATCGCGCGTGTACCGTCAGGCTTCCGGAGGTGAGAAGGAGGTGGTCGTCAACGTTATATATATATATATGTGTGTGTGTGTGTGTGTGTGTGTGTGTGGGAGGGGTTATAGAAATTAGGATATCTATACTTAAATGTTAATTTTTTTTATCATTTAATGTGTATTGAGCACTTTTTAATTTTTTTCCTGGTCTAATCAACTCTGACCATTAACTTTTGATTATTATTATTATATATATATATATATATATATATATATATATATATATATATGATTATAAAACAGTTATTGGTCAGAGTTAGATTAAACTCAGGAAAAAAAGTTAATAAAATGTGCTCAATGCATATATAAAGAAAATAAAAATTTAACGTGCAGAGCTTTTAAATTTAAAAAAATTAGGCGACCAAGCAATCACGCTACCATGGTTTCAAGCTTTAGGTATCCTTAGGCGATCCTGGCTTATATCGCCTGAGGATACATAAAGGTTGATAGCGGACGATAACAAGAAATACGGACGAGAACAAAAAATCTGTGATTTATATATATATATATATATAAAAGAAATATGTTGTAGTGGTTCCAACGAGAGAAAATATGTATATTAAAAGAAGGGGGTGCCGCAAATTTTTTTTGGTTGTAATGTGGATTTATTGAGAAAAAAATATTATACTTTGTTTTACATAATTTCACGACACGTGTTTCAAACAGAATGTCTCATAACCGTCTTCAGGTGAAAGTGGAATTTTTACATATTATTAAAAATAATTAATTTTTCTTCATGTTCAGACCAGAAATATTCTCGATATGAACATTCTGTTTAAAAACGTTATCGAATTTTTTTCTCAATATTCTATTACTAACCAAAATTCGGCACCCCCCTTTTCTTTTTAATATATATATATATATATATATATATATATATATATATATATATATATATATGTGTGTGTGTGTGTGTGTGTGTGTGTGTGTGTGTGTGTGTATTTATTTATAACTTAAAAAAATAACGGTTGAGAACAAGAAATCAGCTATGGATTAAATAGCAGAGTAGACTAGGGTTTTTAACCTTGGTTGGCAACCAGCCTAGAAAAAGAACAGTTCTGAATTCAACACTGAGGGGCGCTGTCTGTAGACTACTGTGCCCGTTATAAGTATTTCCAAAAATTGTAGATGCACGTCTTCAGCAGTAGAATAAAATCAAATCAAGGTAGTATGTTTGTTTGGTTCAGTTCCAGAAACTGAACGGTTGGGCTCGTATAAGCCGTAATCAGGTGGGAGTGTCCTGACACACACACGCGCGAGCGCGCGCACACACACACACGTGTGTATGTTTTGTGTGTGTGTGTGTGTGTGTGTGTGTGTGTGAGACTATGTGTCAAATGTGTCAAGGGCATATGTTGTGTGTTTTAGAGTTAACATGTGTCCGTTGTCAAATTTAAAACCTGTAAGTCTTAACCAGTACAAAGTGAATACGGTTCATTTACAGATGTCCATAAGTTTGCATCACAGATTTTGCAAGAATACAAAAGAGTATACACACACACAAACACACACACACACACACACACACACGCGCGCACACACATGCACACACATACATATACACAGGGGGGCGGAGAGAGTGAGAGAGAGTTAATTGGAGGGGATATTCCCTTAGTTCAAAAACAACCGCCTCAAGCTTGGAACACGAAGCAGCTGGTTTAAAGAAGTGAACTTGTTTAAACAAATGAGCCACGCCCTTTTCCCTATTTCGAACCCCATTGCATTAGATTAGATCTTCTTTTTCGTAGTCAGGAAAGTGTCATCAAATATTTTTAATAGAAAGAAAATGTGAATTCGAAAAAGTAGAAACAAATCAAAAGCAAAGGATCCCTCCACCTCACAGCCCATACTACCAGCGTTTCCCCAAATACATTTATTATTAACATTCTATGAAAAGCTAATCATTTTCTGTTTTGAAGCTAACAAGAGGAAGATGGTAATAATAGTATTCACTGGAGAAAGTGAATTAAAAATGGCTCACGTCCTTCTCTCTCACTTCTTTTACACTTTCTATGAACATATGTGTCGATGTTCGAGTGAATGAGGAAGAGAGAGGGAGAGAGAGAGAGATATGTGCACGTGTGTCGTGTTGAAGCGGACCCACGATTCAAAGAAACTGTAAATATCGAGTCAAGCAGATGTTTTCGTGTGGAGATCGGTAGAAAGAAAACAATGGCAAGAAGAAGAAGAAGAAGAAGAAGAAGAAGAAGAAGAAGAAGAAGAAGAAGAAGAAGAAGAGGGAGAGAAAGGAAAAGAAAAGAATAAAGAAGGAAGGGCAAAAACAAATGTAAAGCGAATAAATCGGTGAAAGAAAACAGATGAAAGAAAAAGAAAGAAAGAAAGAAAGAAATGTATGTATCCAGAAATAAAAAAAATGAATGAAATAAGAAGAATAAAAGGAAAGTTAAAAAAAAAGAGAAGAATACATAGAAAAAGTAATTTTGAAAGAGAAAAAGAAAAGTAAAAATCGCAAAAATGGAAGGAAGAAAAAGAAGGAAGCCGTAAAGACAAAAAGGAAGAAGGGCGACGTAGTTACGAGAAATTAAGAAAACTCGTGAAAATAATAAGAAAGAAAATAAGTTAAAAATGGTGTGAAGAATAATAACATTCATACCCCCACCAGCAGCAACAACAACAATAGCAACAACATATCAAAGGTATCGCGTCGAAAAGAGACGGGAAATGAAGAAAGCAAATACAGAATTAGAAAACTGATGAAAAATAAGTAAACGAAGACTAAGAGGGAAACGATGATAAATTAAATAAAAATGAAAAGATGAAAGTGAAAAGTTTTTGAAGAAATAAAAAAGTAATTAGGTCGACAAAGAAGTAGAAACTCGGAAAAGTTGTCGAATGCAAAAAGTGCGAAAATTAACAAGATGAAAACGAGGTTGATAGAGAAACAAGGGCGTCAAAACTTCGAAGAGGAGGAAGGGGAGGAGAAGAAGAAGAAGCATATGAAGTTGAAGACGGGTTGGATTGTGATAGCAGGGTAATAGGATGGGGTTTTACGACTGTGACAAGCTCTGCTGACTGAAAATGGGAACACTTCCTAAGGCCAACCCAAGGGAGGAGTAGAAAAAAAAAGAAGCTTCATCATCGCACTGAAAACTTCTTTCCTTTCGGCAGCTCAGTGTATTTTCCCTTTATATACTTCTGCTACTACTACATCTACTACCACCACCAACACAACCTACCACCCCACTCCGCGTTGCAGCTATACACTATTGTTTTAAACCATTCCTTTAGATTTATAACAATGTCTGAATGTTGTACTTTTTTCTCGTATGGATAAATTATTGTTGGATATCATTTCCTTTTTAAATTCAGATATAAAAAAAGATCGAAAAATGATTATGAATATTAATTCTAGAGACTATGCAGATGTAATTGATTTTTTAAAGAAAATTATTATTATAAACAAAACTTGCATTTATGCAAATAGACAGCTGATTAGGAATGACAATAAACACTACACGTATTTTAGGTTAAAACGAAAAACGATTTCAATCACACACACACACACACACACACACATCAACACAAAAGAAAAATTTATGTTTCGTCCTCTGATGGACATTATCAAGGCAAATCATAAGGTCCATCAGAGGACGAAACGCGTCAGCTAAGATAAGTTTTCCTTTTGTCATTATTCACATACAGATATATTTTTAGCTATAAAATTTTACACAAACACTCACACACACAAACACGCGCGCGCGCGCGCACACACACACACACACACACACATATATATATATACACACACATGTATTCTATAATTTACAAATAATAATTAAAATCATTCAGTCGATAAAAAAAGTTTATAACAATTTCAATTTGCTTATATTAATCTCAATTTTGCTTACGGCTTACCACAAACCTTTGTAATTTTATTTTTTTAAGCAGAAACATATTTTGGATTCTAAGAAAATATATATTTATATTTTGCTGAGAATAGTGTTCATAAGTGGTTCGATTGGGTTAGAAATAGTAATTTTGTTCTGAAAGATCAAAAACATTCCGCCAGGCCTGCAGTCATTGGGGATAAGCAAATTGAAACACTGATAAAAAATAATCTATGTCAAACCATACATAGTAAACTCCTCATATATCGTGTGATTGTTGTAAGGCATTTGAACATAGATAAGTGAATCGCTTAAGATGATTGGCTGCCTTATGATTTAAAAAACAATACAAAACATTCCTTGGATTGCATTTAAATCTGCAAGTCTCTACTCAAATGCAAAAAAAAAAAAAAAAAGCATTTTTGAAAAGAACAACCTATGAAAAATGGATTGTTTACAACAACGTGGAGCGTAAGAGATCGGGGAGAAAATGAAATGAACCACCGTTAACCAACCCGAAGAAAGAGATGCTGTATATCTGGTGGGATTGGAAGTATATGGTGTATTGCGAGCTCCTTCTGTAAAATATGACGACTGGGATGTCCTACTACACTCGCTGTACACCCCATGACCTTGCATATTCGGATTATCATTTATTTCGATCTTTACAAAATTCGCTGATTGCAAAAGATGTTAATTCTGTGGAAACCTGTAAAACCACTTAGACCAGTTCATCACCCAGAAGCTGCTCCAAAGATTTCAAGATAATGGAAGGAAATGACATGATATGCCATTGAATAAATCTTAATATTGCTTTTAAATACACTTAAAAACTCTACAAATTTATTTTCCGACTCAGTATATATGCACCCCATATATATATATATATATATATATATATATATATATATATAATTGTGTATTCGGCCAGCAATCCCTTTTTTATACAATATTCGATAAAAATAATGTGGTTACGTTTTTTATTTAATTATTCTTGTGTTTTTATAATTTTTTCTTATCAAGACAATTTCTACATAATTTATGTCCAAAAGAAAAAAATTAGAAGACAAGAAAAATTAAATAAAAAACCTAACGCTGTACTTTGTCAGTCATTTTTAGCAATATATATATATATATATATATATATATATATATATATATATATATATATATATATATATATATATATATATATATATATATATATATATATATATATATATATATATATATATATATAGAGAGAGAGAGAGAGAGAGAGAGAGTTTTTCCAGCGTTCTTACATTTTCTGTTTAGTGAGAGTGAGGGAGTACAAAAACTGTCCATATTGTTCATTATCGCAAGCGCTTTCGACCACTTCTTTAGCCAATATGGAAGAGGGTTTTGTTTTGGTGTTGTTAGTTTTTTTAATGTTTTGACTATGTCAGATGTATTATTTGTGTGGTTTTTGAATTCTAGTAGGAACGTTTATTCCGAGCCATCTCGTGTTGGACATGGCTGTATATTTAACAGCCCCCCCCCCATGAGGAATGTATGTGGCACGTGGGTTTCTCCGAGCCCGTAGGCTCGACCAAAAATATTCCCTTAGAACCCGCATAAGCGGGTTCGGGATCTGTCTACCTTCGGCAAAGCTTCGTCCGAGTTCCTCTCTGCCAAAGCAGAGAGTTCAAATGAAGTCGGACACAGTCAGAGACTGCGTTTCGATATGTTGGGCATGGCTGGAATTCGATTGGCCGACGCTCTATTTTTAAAAGACTTTCAGCACGACGGAATACAATACAAGACCCCTCTTAAGGGTTCTTGTAGATGGTGGGTTGATAGGTTTTTTTTTTAATGGCGCCCTGCTCTGATAAGTGGCATGTTAGGGCTCTACTCAAAGAGGTGGTTATATGTCCGATATAGGTAATTGATTTATGACAAGAAACACAATCTTGTATTGGGCAGTGAAATTGATACCCTATATTGGTCATCGCTAGTTTAGATTTGAAGGGATTATTTTAATTAGTGACAACAAGGTTTACGGTTTTTCTTTTTCTGTGATATAAATTTTATATGTTTTCCGGAAATTACAGCAGAAATATGGTGTTTAATGATTCTTCTTAAAGCAAATTCGTCCTGCTTATAATTATTGTGCATCTGGTTGCAGTAAAATAAGTTGATATTTTCTTGTGTGGTATTATTATTACTGGTGTCATGTATTTTTTTGTTAAGAATAATTTTATTTGTTTATCAATGATGTAGTTGAGAAAATTATTGTTGACTAATGTTTGTTTTATGTGTGTTTAGTTCACTCAGAAATATTCTCTGGGAAGTAGAATTTAGGTGTGCTCTGTTTAGGAAGTTTTTTTTCTCTTTTTTTTTTACAGGTAGGTGGTAAATACTTTGCAATTTAGTTCTATATCGACGTCGAGAAATGGAATTTATTTATTACCCATGAGTTCGTATATAAATTTTAATATTGATTTTTTTCAAAATTTGATTTAAGATTTATAATTTCATCTTTATGTTTTTTAGCACGAAAAAATGTCGTCAACGTACGTTGTGTAGATTTGTGGTTTATCAGTTGTTTTAAATACTTTGCTTTTCAATATAAGACAATGTAAACATTAGAGAAAGCAGAAGATAAATGAGTTTCCCACGCTGCTGACACCATTAGTTTGGATATGGGTGTCGCCATTATGATCATAAAATTGGTCTTTTGGTAGTGCTCTCTTACTCCCAACAAACGGGAAAAAATGTAAGAACGCTGGAAAAACTAAATAAAAAATTAATATTTAACGAAACATGTTTAAAAGAAAGCTTGCTGCCAAAATATATATATATATATATATATATATATATATATATATATAATGAACAAGTGTAAACATAGACATTTGACACTGAATGGTGATTGTCAGTTTAACAGTTCATTGCTTGGAACTGACAGTCAATATGATGTGTTGATTTCCATGTACACACAGTTTATATCTATATTTGGTCTGTACCCGATATAGTAGCTGCATACCCATCGTTGCTCGGGATAAGAAGCACTCAGTTTAGAGGTCATTTCATTTAGAGGCAAATTATTTAGTCTGTCTTGTGATTTTTCCTGACAGAATATTTTTCTTTTCTAAAGAAAAATGGAGTACATAATCCAAAGAAATCTGAGTCTTTCTAAAAACAGAGTCAGTTAAATCTTTCAGTTTATTTTTCTTTCTTATGCATGAGGTTGTTGATTATGAATAATTTTTATGATATTTGAAAAGTTTTAGTTCGCTGAGTTTCCTTTCTTCTTCGTTTAGGTATATAATTATTTTGCATAGATTAAACCTCAGGTCCTCATTTTAAAGGCAGAACACATTTTTCTAGGACTGACACCAAATTACCTTCAGTTTCGATATTCATTCTTCGTTACACAAAGACAATGTATATTGGAATAGATATTTATACGAATTCAACGTTGAATTAACATTCAAATTTAATTTCTGAATGAATTAACATTTCAAAACAATTACTATTTATTATGTTTATGCCGTCGGCAGCGATTAATTGGCCATTGATTTTTATTAATATTCATTGATTTCGAATTTGAATTTCATTTCTGATTTGATTAAAATTTACCTACCGTTTTTATTGCGTATAACTTAATTAGGACCCGATTGCACTTCGATTTTTACTTACGATCAAATTAAGAATTTTGAGGCGTGATACGCTTTGATATAGGTTTTCATTATAAAGATGGCCGCAGTCTGTTTCGATTTAAAATCAAACAACCATTGCTT